GGGAAGTCGGTGGGGAAAGTAAGGGAAGAAGTGGAGAAGACAACTCGCGGGTGAGTGGCAGCTTTATACGCCCGAACCCAGAGCGCAGGTTATGCCCATAAAGCCGATAATGGAGACGGACGGAACTCGGCCTCTCAAGGACTCTTGATATCCTGTTCGGAGGGAGCCTGAGCACCTTGACCTTTTTCTATTCCTGTCAGTTTCCGCCTCGAGCTATTCTCTGAAAGGACGACGGTGTCGATGAGGCTCACGGTACAGCCGTTGATTGCTCGTCAGGTTTGGGATTCCATCCTCCAGAGGAGCGGGTTGAGTGGCAGATCGAGGAGAACGAGCAGGCGATGCAGACCGGGAAGAGAATGGGCGAATGGGACCTCCAGGCCTTCCCCTGTGCGTCTTCCACCCATCGTCTTTCCTGCTTGTGAAGGACACACGTGGCTGACAAGATGCAAAACAGAAGAGTTCACAGATCAACATCGTGACCACCAGGGACCGAGCCTCATGGCTTGCCTGAATTCTCTTACCCGGCCGTCTGGGTGCGACGACATGACATCGCTCTTTATACTGGCGACGGCGTACTGTGTCTCGGTCCACCTACCTCGAGGAAACCCCTCGGTAGTCCCGAATCTCGGCCTCTTAAGGTGGTGCGACATCTTGATGCCACGGGCGGTGCGCAGCGAGGACGACGTGTGGTCCTGTCACCTTCTTTCCCTCGCCGACCTGCTCGTGTCCCGTCCGCTGCAGATCGCGATTTCCGACAACGAAAAGGAGGAAGTTGACGAGAAGGCCGAAGTTGATGAACAGGTCAAAATTGCCGAACCGCCGGGGGAGAGGCTGGGTGCGGACCAACGATGTCCTTGCGGGTTCGCTTGTGCTTGCGGTAGAGTCGAGGGGCAGTGGGAAAGATTTTATAACTTTCTCTTCGGTCGAGGGGTAGAAATGACATGTAGGGAAGGGAGGTTCAACGAAATCATGTTCTTCAAAGCACCTCCGGAGATGGAACCCCTTCCCCGTGGGATTGGCGTACGCGGCTGCTAACGGAATCTCACCCCTTTCATGGCCCAAGGTAGTTACTGCAACGCAAACAGCATATGAAGAATTCGTCCAGACAGCTGAGTGTGCTGAATGGTTCGGTGACACGCTAGGTTGTTAATGGAGAAAACATACAAAACTATCTGCTTCAGAATGGCACGCACTGAAAACCGGTATGTGAACGTACTTAACTTCGAAGGTGGTGAGGATGCAGGCCATCCGCGCAGCCAAGTAGACATGAAATTGCACGCCGCCACACTCAGGGCGCCCGGGAGGTATTTGGGAGCCTGCAGAGAGCGAGCAATTCTGTGGCCCTCCATGGGCACATCCCAAGCATCTCAAGCCGCAAAGGGTCGCGCGTGGATTGCACTCGTGGAAATGGGACGGGAGGAGCATCGTGAGACTATGAAAACGGAAGGAACAGCGGTAACGGATGATGAGCCAATGAGCACAAAGGGCGCTGGCATTTCTAGTTACGGAAAGATCGATTACTGTAGCCGAATAGGTAGGCAGTGAGCTGTAGCGAGGAGTCTAGTAGGCGATAAGGTTTTGGCGCCTCAGGAAAAAAGTCGGTCCGACAGTCAGAGCTGTTGGACGAGAATTACCTAAAGAGGCAAGCGAATGGGCTGGATAAACATTTGAAGAGTTAACCTTATCTTCCTCCTTTACCTCTTTAGTTAAGAACTATCTAACGCGATAGTGGACTCCGATTCTTTAGATTTATACTTTCGATTAATAGTAGGAACCCCTAATCTACCTTTATTTACACCATAATGTCTCGTTAGTACCAATTGTGCCGCGATTAACCACTGCTCTCGAGGATCTCTTCAAATTTGCTGTCAAGAGCGCCGTTTAGAGACTTCATCATCTTGGTGACTTCATGCTTCGAAGCCGTAACCCTGACCTGGAACAAGATTTGCATATTTATACCTAGAGCGTGACACCGCGTAATCCTACTCCAGAACAAGACATTTCTGCACTTGTGGCACAGCTCAGTATTTCGAGCGACCTTGAGCAAACAATGAGCAAACGCACACCTACGAGATTTTTGATACCGGAGCTTCATGTCCTGGAAGTCTCCTTCTACCGGAAAATGTAGGACGGTTATGTAATCTTCTGGGGTCTCGACACCCTGGGCTGTTAACGCTAATCGGCGACGTTGAATTCATCTGACAAAGAAGCTAGTCCCACTGTGGTAATGTCGAGAGCTGGATTCGGCCGAGGCCGCCAATCAACAGGCCCCAACAAATTCTGTCGGGGGCTTCTAATTGGTTGCTTTAGGCGGGTGGCGCTAACCCTATTAGGAAAAGCTTATTTCACACCGTGCTTGGATGGGTCGACAAGGTTTTCTTCAATGGCTATTTAACGTGGGGCTGACAATCTATAGTGGCCTTGTAAAGGAAGGGACGGACAAGCGTGAGCCAACTATACGAAAAAAATAAAAAGACAACCAAAAAAATGTATCTAGCGGATCACGATTGACTGGTCAAAAGTCCCCCAGACTCGACAAGAAAATCCTCCGGACTCTCCTCGGCCTCCTCTGGGGCGCTCAGGTCGGGAAAGTCGGCCACGTCAGTCACGAATGCGACATTTCTGCCCTCGGGGAACAGGTCGATGTAGGCCGGATTCCCTTTGGCCGTCTCCCGCTTCTTGGCCTCCATGAAGAGCCAGAGCTGGGTGCCCTCGGGGAACGAGGGGTGCATCTGCCGGGCCAGGTCGACCAGCTGCTCCTTTGTGACTTTTCGCAGTTCGTCGACAAAGCGCTTGTCTGAACCCCTGGAGCGTTAGCGGTTCTTTCACCAATAAGGGACCTCACCGGGGGGGGAACGAGAGTGACGGAGGGATACTTACGTCTGTGGAAGCCGTACGTTCGCGAGTCGATGCATCCCCACGCCCACAATTGGTATTCATCGAGCGTTCTGATCTCTGTGTCGATGTGCTTCGTGCAGGCCTCTGTGTACTCTTCAATCTGCTCGGGGCTGAGCTGTTCCACCATGCCGGGGGCCTCTTGGATGAATTCGAGCATGAATCGGGCCGCCTCCAGGCACGAGTGTTTGGGACACTCGACGTAGACACTGAGGGCCGACTGTTGAGGGCCGGTATCGGTGACCATGCCGACGCTATACCCCAGGCCGTGCTCCGTGCGCAGCTTGTCGAACGCTTTTGTCTTGAGAATCTGGACCAGGAGCAGCGGGGCAGCGACATGCTCGGCCCGGCGGCTGGCGCCCAGGAAGATGACGGCATTCACATGGCTGTTCTCGTTCTCCGGGTCGAACATGGCCCGCTGGAATAGGTTGATGCGGCCCGACGTCGGCAGCCGCGCTCGGCGCCGCGGTGGCTCCCCTCCGGATCGCCACCTGAGTTCCAGCTTTTCCCGGCAGAAGGGCCATAGTTCTCTCGCCTCGGCCTCGGTGACGTCGCCGCTGACGAGGAACTGGAATTGCGTCGTGTTGAAGATCTTGGTTCCCCACTCCCGCACATCGTCGAACGTGGTGGCTTCCAGTGCCGCTTCTTTTTGCTCGGCCGAAAAGTCATGTTCGGTGGTGAGCCAGTGGAGATGGCGGTCGCTGTGGCTCGACGGGTTTTCGAGCTTTGCATTCCGAAACGTCTGGAAGTAAACTTCTTTGACTGCGTCGAAGTCGGCTTCCGTCGGCTCGTGGTGCCGCAAGGCCTGGAAGAACTCTTCCAGCATGGGCCGGAGCACGTCCTTGAAACCGGTGGCCGAAAACGTGAGGCTGTCGTCCGACTTGCCGGCGCCACACCTCATGCCTGCCTTGTTGAACTGGTCGCGAAGGGCGGTCCCGGCGCGGTCGGCGGATTCCATGAATATACCCGTTTTTATACTGCTTTTTGGGTCGGCATAGACATTGTCGGGTCGGATGCGCATGTTGATCTTGATCCGGGGTTCGACCCACAGCCCCTGGCCCGGTGTATACCAAATGTCGTTCTCGCCCGTCTGCAGGGCCCTGGGCGGCGGGCGCCCCCGCTTCTCCTCCTCGGCGGTCCCCGGTGCTTGCGCCGGCTTACCCCGCTGCGGCCCGAGAAGTTCGCTCTCGTAGTCGTGCTTGGTGATGAACCGGTTCGGCGGCGGCAGTTTGGGCTCCGGGGGCAGCTGGTCGAGGGATAGACCGGCGGCGGTAGAATACCTGGCCATGTCATCGGGCGATATCTTACGGGTCGCCCACTTCGTCCCATACCATTTCTCTTCCTCGGTGGCTAGGTCCTTGTACTCGGTCGAGAGGAGCGTGAGGCGCATGTTTCCAGGCTGCAGCAGGCTCAGGTTCTTGACGATATCGTCGGCGTCAAATTGGCTCGCGATCGAGATTTGGTTGCTGCCATAAATAAGGTTCTCGGGATGGATGTATGACTCCGTCATGTTATTGGCCACATCCAGGGCGAGGGCCTGGTTAGAGGTTTGGGTGGTGCAAAAGTTGATGTGCTCGAGCCTCGTCTGCTCTTCGACCCGTTCCTGCTGCGGACCCTCGGCCTTCATGCGGGCGATCATGTGGAATACTTCCTGGACCACGTCTTGGTACTTCTTGGCCCCGGTTGTTGTCAGATGTATATAAATCGCGATCATTCTATAGCCGGTATCGTACGACGTGGTGGCGCCGAGACTGTGGATCAACTGTTTCCTGTGGAGCACGTCGTAAAGGCTTCCCTCTGCCATCTGCGTCAGGAGATCGACTGCGTGACCCCCTCTGGCCGAGTATCCGCAATCTTCGTGTCCGGGGAAGTGAAAGTCGATGAACAGATAATCCATATCCGCAACAGGCTCCACAAACGTCTCCGTGCCCATGTCCTTTTCGAGGTAGCGAGGGATAGTGTCCCAGACCTTTTTACTAAGCCCTCTGTTGGGGATCTCGCCCAGGGTGGCCGCGAAATTGTCCCGCAAGTCTTGGATGGGCAGCGGAGAGAGTATGACGCACCGCATGAGGCCTGCGCAGTAGTGCTTGTTGTAGTGCTCAATTACCTTTGGGAGAAGCTCCGCCGGGTCCCCCAACGACTTGCGATTCCCGAATTGGAACGTCCCGGACATTGGATGTTCAGGGTTGGACAGCAATTGCTCCAATTGTTGAACCCTGTTCGCGTCGTGTCGTACCTGGTGCTCAAATTCGCCGTCGATCGCGCTGAGCTCACGCTCGACCGTGTCGGGATTGAAAGTGGGGTCGATGAAAATATGGAGGAAGACATCTAAAACCTCGTTCAATTTGGCGCCGGCCTCTTGGTCGGCCGCGTCGGTATTGATCCAGAAGAAGAACTGGGTGACGTCCTGCACAGTCGTTGCATTCTTAAAACCACCGTGCTTGGTAACGCGTTCGTCGAGTTCGTCCCTGCGCGGGTACTTTGAGGTACGTTAGGTGCGTTATCCTGTCGGGAACAGGTGGCGCTTTACCTTTTCAGATCCCATCATGAGAAAATGCTCCAAGGCATGTCCAATACCCTCCACTTCACCGTCGTTGAGGAACCCAGACTCGACGTCCATCACCACGATGGACTCCTCAGCCCCGGGACTATGAATCCACTGGACCTTGAGCCCATTTTGGAGCTCTTCTAGACAGTAAGAGCGCCTGTCGAGCGGCGATCGAATGGGGTTATCCGTGATGACCTTGCCAATATGACGGCCTGATTTTGGCTCAGAGCCATCATCATGCAGGGACGACGAGGACATGATGAACTGGACGGGAACCGTGGAGCAGGAATTGTGTGTTCTGCTTCCAAGGTCTTGATCGGAATGATGGGCCGATGCGGACAAAGAAGAAAGAGAATGATGAAGAATACAATGAGTATTGGAGACGACTGAACAGGCCCTTCAATCTGAGGCTTACTTGTGAGGTGGTGGCAGTGGGGGCCTTGGTGTGATAGTGACTAGGCGAGAGAATTAGCACTGCCAGCGCCATCTCACACTTTTTGTATACAAAAATGGTCTCAGGCAGACACGGACGAGGCTGCCTGCTCGTCTGCCTTGGATGCGGCTCTGCTCGTCTGCCTTGCTGCGGCTGTGCTGATGAAAACGGCAATCGGACCGGCCAAGGTTGCCGATCTTCCGACCCCTGGCGCCAAGAGTGAAAATGATTGGCCATCAGCCTTGGCCCGAAAACATTGACGCGTGTCAGAGAACACAGGATCCCAGTACTTAACGTAAAATGTGATATCATATACGTGCTTACTCCTTGGCATCCGTCCTGTCACTTTCGGTGAGGCGACTCAACCAATCAACGGTTGCCAGAGGTGACACTGCCGTAAATGGGTGCTACATACATGTCAAGACAGGAGGATGTGCTGGCAGCCTCTTTGTACAGTCTGACCGTGCCCGACAGATTAAAGGTAGAGGCTGTCTGTGATTACTCCACGCGAGGCGGAAAATGCCGGAATCACGCCTCGGTTGCCTATCTTGAAACAGAAACTATTGCACGACATATGGCCAAGTATCCCTGTCCTGACACCGATACCCGCCACGTCTTTTCACACTTGACGTTTGGCCAGATGGTCCGGTTGGTTATCTCAATGGCTACAACTAAAGCCTAGCGTCAACTACTAAAATACCAAGGCTAGCGTTGTCGTCGCCGCCGTACTATCTCTAGATTTGGGGGAAAAGGACCTCCTCTACCGCATCCGAAAAGGCGGTCATATTGTCCAGGTTTGGATTGCGTCGCCCACAGCCATTCCTCGAGATCCCAAGAACAAAGTTCGTTTTTGTCGAGAAGGATTCCGCGGAAAGACTGGATTGCCCATGTGGAAAAGGTCCATCCGAAGAAAAGGAAACTTTACGTTCGATGGACGAGGGAGGATGGTCCAGAAGTTCTGATGGAGAACAGTTTTGCATGGCTCTCTGGAGACACCATACAAGACCTAGCTCATTCAAGCAGGTGAAAGACGAGCACACACTTTGCCTGACCGTTCCGACAGAGTGCAAAACATCGGAGACTGTCGAATCCAATTTCCATCTGACTTCCTGGGCAGGCTCGGAGATAGCAGCCACGGCCGGGAGCACGCCCGCCATTGATAACCCCATTCCTGTCACGGCCACCAAGACCAAGTTGGCACCCCTCCCGGCGAATGTGGGCAACATCTCAACAGGAAGACTTTCCGCCCCTCTGGAAAGTGGTAGGCAGCTATTTCAGCCATCATTTCAGCCATCACCTCAGGTGTAGGGGCGTGTAGACGCGGGAGAACTGGGCCCCTTTGATTACCGTCGCAATTAGCTTCTGCAGCGATATTCTTGAGCAGCACGATGCCATAAAAGACCATCTGATAGTCTCGGAAATATGATTTAAAGATAGTGTACCTAGGTTCCGCCGGTTTCCTCCATGCCCACTCGTATACCTCACAAGCAAGACAATTTAGTCGCATCACATCCTCTCGTTCCATTGGAGGAACAGGGCATACAGTACGATCCAGAAGCGCTCTTGAAGGCACTCTCCAAACCTCTTGTGGAGTGGCCGATGACAACTTTTCCCGAGAGGGCCTGGAATCAGCGTTATTCATAAGTAGGCCTCAGCCGCTCTCCTGTCAATTGATGCCCGTAGCTTCGAAGCATATCATGAAATTCGTGTCGGCTGGTTGTTGTCAGACCTAAAACAGAACTGGGTGAACGCGGCTTACACTTCGCTTTCCGAGACACCCATTCTCTCCGCATACTTTTTGAAATCCAGGTTGATATTGGACAATAAACCACACCATGAGAGCAGAAAAACCATAGTGCCTGGTGGCCGTGTCCCAATGTGCGACTCTTCGTCTAGTCCTGCTGAGTCTTCCTCTGGTCCTGCTGAGTCTTCCTCTGGTCCTGCTGAGTCTTCCTCTGGTCCTGCTGAGTCTTCGTCCGGATCTGCTGATGACGCAGTCTGGCTTGATGGACTGTCATCCGTGCTGCCGGTTCGTGGTTCGGTCTCCGTCGAAACTAACATCTGTCCATCAAGCTTCAAGCCGTGGATTTCGAGAAGGGTGTCAAAGGCCTCTTCGCTAAAAGTATGTTTTATCAGCCTCATCCCTGCTAGCGGTGAAGGCGAACTTACCTCGCTTCCGGTCCCATGATGAGAAGGTCCCGGATTAGCATCCAGTCGTCGTTGTCGTCGCCGAAGACCTCATTAGCACCGTGAAAAATGGCATACAGGAGCCTTTCTCGAGAAATATCCGCCATGGTTCGTTGATATCGTTCTAGAGGCGAAGATGTTGAAGTCTGAGCTGCGTAAATTGGGGAAAAGTCGGTGAACAGCGTGGCCGGCAAAAGTTGTCACGTGATGGTGCCCGGGCCCTATCGAGAAGGTTAGCCGGATAATTTCCACCGCGTTATGCCACAGCCACCAAACATGGTAAACTAGCCAAGGATAGTACACGCCCAAACGGGACGGATAAGTAGCGGTGTGCCATCGCACGTTCCTCGAAACCTCTTTGTCATGAATGACTAAGCGGCTATCGGCGAAGTCCCACCTCCCACGATTTAGCTAAGACCCCCGAGGATTGTCCGAGGTCCCCTAAATTAGCCGAGGTTAGACTAAGGGTGACACTACCTATTTAGATAGCGTACGACTCGCATGAGTGACGTCTCCTTCTCTTATTCTTCGAGTCGTGTAGTGACTCGATGTCAAGGAATACCTAATAGATTCAACTACCTCTTCTATTCACTAGGTCTACCTACTTCCCTAGGCTGTTCCTCACACTCTTCAAGGCTTCGACTCTCTATATATAGGGGCCATAGCTATCTAGTCTTGGTGTATTCCATCTATTGACCTATCTAACAGCCTCCGCGGGCTTTTTTACAATTTTCTTTCATACTAATCAAATTATCACACTCACAGTGCTATCACGGGATTGCATGCTTTCCAGAGGGCTGGTCAATGCATATCGATCTGAACGCAAGAAACCGGACCGGACGGATGTCCAGTTCGTCCAGGGCCCGGCCGAGCCCCACGCCGCGCAGATAGACCAGCTTCCACACATGCAGCGGGCCCGAACCTAGCGTGCCGAGGGACTGAAAGGAAGGCACCCAATTGCCGTAGAGCTCTGCGGCCGTGGCGACCTGGCTCAGGTCGAGATCGCGCGCCTCGCCAACATGCTGTCTTCCGGGTCCTCGTCGGTGTTGTCCACGTGACAAGTGTAGCAGCCGTCGCTTAATTGGATGTCGGCCGACCGGATCACCACTTTCTTCTTCAGCACGGCGACCACGTGCTGATGGCACATCTCCAGCGTCACGGGGTGCTTAGCGAAGAAGGCCCCAATCTGGATCTGCGCCTCCTGTGATAGGACGCTGAGGCTTTCAAGCACATCAAGCCCTCTTGTATCTTTCCCATCGTTGTCATCATTATCACCGTCGTCGACGCCAAAGAACATGGAATAATCCATTGAGCTGACTGAATACATAGCTTCTAGCTTCTATGCTCTCTGCTACAGGCGCGTCTCTAGCAAGAGAGTCGTGTCTAGGCGGGTCCGTCAACAAACCCGTGTCCGAAAGTATGGAATCGCATCGAACCCCCCAAGCGTCCGATATTTTATCCTCTGTTCCTTACCAGGCAGGCTCGGAAGAAATTCGGACCTTGATACAACACGCGATTGCCGTGTGGCCTGTGCCTCGCTGGGGCCACCCCCTCCTTTATTTGTTTCGACGCGGCGCAACGACAACCAACCAAGCCAGTTACGTCCAGGGTTCGCGTAAAAAGAGACTATAGGAATTACCGATTGCGGGGGATAACGGGGTTATACTATATATATAGGGATGGATAAAATGGATAGTCCCTACTTCGGTCGAGAAATCGGGGGGTAAATCCAGCAGCCCGTCGATCTATAATTCTATACCCTCCACGCAGACGACATATACTCTTTGACCGTGCAATGTCAAGGCTGCAAGCCAAACTCCGGACAGCTTCAGCCGCAGGTTCAGCCGACTAAACCGCTTTCGTCTCGAAGCTATGGATCTTTATTACCACCTCTGATAACCGAATGGGCATAATGAGTATCACGGCCTGCGCCTGGCTACCCCGCACGAGGCTGAGCGCGCACATATCTCTCACGCCGATGTAGTTGCTCGAGTCAGACTCCTTCGTCTCAGAATTCATATCATAAATGCACCCTTAACAGCGATCTCTTCTGTTCAAGGCTGCGCCGTTATACTCTCCACGGTCACGCTGGGGGGCCAGCTCCAGATCGAAATCCCGTTAGGTGACCACGTCCACGAAACGGTCATGACCATATGGTGGGGGCCCCAAAGGCGAATACGAAGTCGAGTGTACCATCGAGGATTTACACGCACTCACCGCCACCCACCTTCTCATCAGACAGGGCACCGTGTTTCAGAACATGTCGTTTTCGATGGCTATTTACTATAACCGACCCCTTTGGGGGGTTATCACCAGTATCCACGCCGAAGAACCTTTTACTCCAAAAATGCTGATCGATTCAGGTAAAGACATTCCCATCATAGACACGAGACAGCTTGCCTTCATCCTAGATAACGTATGGAATGGCCCACTAGACAGACTATTTTTCCGATTCCAAGAGAGGTATCTGCATAGCCCCACGCGCTTGAGCACTCGATCGAGATTCATTGTCCGAAGCACCGATCAGGTGTCTTGTGAGTTGATCCCCTTGCCCTACTCCGACAAGCCCATCCTAACATACCCGATGCGGTCATCCGGATATTTCCGTCTCTGGTACGCTGTCACCCGTAACGTTATACCCTAATCGACGGTACTGCGGACACATGCTACAATGTCGCTGTGGTCGTCGATGCCGAACAATGGGCTTACCTTCCCCATTCGCGGCAAGGTCAATCTGCTCGACGAGCTTGGGGTCACGGTAGCGGAAGGAAAAGACGTTGCAGCGCGACCGGCCTTTCTCCACCCGGCACATGATGTGGCCGTACTGAAGTTTGACACCACATCGGTCGATAAGGAGCTCCTACGCCCTCACGCCCGGTACCGAGGTCTTCTACGTCCCCTTCGATATCGGTAACAAGACGGTGACCCGGACGAAAATCGCTAACTTATACGTTGAGGGACGACCATAGTAAGTAGAGTACCTCGGAATATTTCCCCTTTCACTACCTGACATGCCGGCTCGAGGACCCTCCCTCACGCAACCAGAAGAATGGGATCCTGCTCAACGAGGCAGGCCAGATCCTCGGACCCGTAGATTCTATCCGGGAGATTACTACCTGCCGATCGACGGGCTGCGGGCAGCACTCGAGCCGATTCGCAACGGCCAAGAAGCGGATATGCGGTTTCGGGACTTTAATGTGGATCCATGCGAGGTATTTAGAGCCTTTCCGGCTTAGACTTTTCGGAGAGAACTGGGAGATACGGTTGAATCGCGCCGGTAAGGAGGTTCTACTCGAGGCGGACCTACTCCCTTTTAAGCAGCCCCTGCCTGGTAAAGAGAAGCGCCCGCTCTATCTCGGCGACATTATCCTCGAGGTCAACGGCGAGCTGGTGACCGAGCCTACCGCGCTGGGCTGGCAGTACGAGCAGGCCTCGCGCCACATGCTCGTCTTGCGAGATTGGCCGAACGCGAGATCAAGGTCCCCCTGCTTCCCGCCGCGAGCATGAATGCAGACAAAGTGATTCACTTCTGCAGCACTGCGACACAGGCACCAAACCTGCCCGCCCGAATGAGGTGCAGTCACCTGGCCTCTGAGATCTCTGTGACCTCGCGGAGATTCGGGCAGCCCCACTGATAATGTATGGCCTGCCTAACAAGGCCTTGATCACCGAGGCTTATGGCCAGTGGCGTGGACGAGGGAAGAGTTCTTGGAACGCGTGGGAAGACATCCCTTACAACCGGAAAATTCGACTCCGCATTGTGCATTCTACAACTCGGAAGGAAGAAACAATCGTGATCGAGAAGAGCCCACTAGTGCTTCTGCGTAAGAGCCTACCGCACTCGACAGGCACCATTGACATGACCGTCAGGGACGATAAACATTGGCAGGCCCACCTGCAGAAACACGCCCATGCTAGGATTGACGTACGGATGCGTATGGCAGAGCTCCTAAAGGGAATCGGCGTGCACGCGCAAGGGATAAAACACCAGGAGCGTATTTTCAATAGGAGGCTTCAGGTCCACACAGAAGCAACAGAGCAGCAATGGAGGATTCCCCCGCCTCAAGCACAGCAAGTGGAGCCGCCCAGACGAGTGTCGCTTGTGGCCGACTCGTGCCCCAATCCCGCTCTCTACCCAGTAGAAAACGGACAAGTCGCGTCGATCGTATTGAGCCACCGTCTACTACGAGCTGCAGGGAGCCTCTGAACCATTACAAGAGGACTGGTCTGAACCAATTAGGATGAAGACTTTTCTTCATTTGCGTTGCTCCTCTTCAGAGATGCTTTCCAGCACCTTTGTTTCCAAGACTGGCTGGTGTGCGCGCGCCCCTATCCAGGCTTCTGTTTATGGCGGCCGACACCTTCCGACAAGACGGACAGAGATGGCTCAACACAACGGGGCACGCCGCCGCCTGCGCAACAAGCAGAGCATGGTGAGCATGGAGGCGAAAATGTATCGAGCACGGGACATTATAGCACGCCCAGGAAAGAACCGGCTTATCGAAGCCAGGAGCGCAAAATGAACGACCGCAAACGGCTTGACCGGGAAACAAAGCTTCCTTCATTCCAATCCGGAAGCAGCGTGGACGCCGAAGGCCAAACCGTTCGCAATAAGAAGGATGATTGTGACCAAAGGATTCCAAGGCCCGCAACCCACAAGAGGAAGCAGGACGCGCCCAACCGAGTAAGTGATGCCACAGAGTTAATCAAGCCAAGGATAACGAAAAGGAAGAAGACGGCGCTCAGCGTCCCGCCGAAGCCTTTACGGTCCATGAGTCTTGTGTTTGCTGAGCGTTCATGGGTTGATTCGGTCTCTGCCATGGTTGTTGGGGGGGGGGGGTGGGGGGTGTGGTGCGAAAGGCCGGTTTATCGGTAAATGTTGTCCAGATTCGAGTCGGCTGTGACAAAGACGACAATGCTCAGTAGCTCTTCAAGCTCAGAGAATCATGGAGAACTACAAGTCACAAGCGTTCTTCCCCCGCTGCGGAGATCTTCCGCCTTTAAGGCTAAATGAGTCAAGCGGGTGGATCAGTGCTTGTGGCGTGATTTCCGACACTACGCTTCATTGGCTAGCTGCGCGACAAACGCGACTTGGACGCCGAGGAAGAACACGTCAGTGACAGGTGTTCGGTAAATCTCGAAAGGGGCGCCCCTACAGTTACATGTGTTGTAATAGTATGGCGGACGGGGAAAGCAGCGTTGGTGCGAACACCGAGCTGAGCCTCATATGATCGCCCATCACTTTTAGCACAGAGCTCGACTTTGAGGCGCAATTTGACAGATGAAGCCATAGACTTGATAAATACACCGAACATTCTGTGGTAGATACATTTTTTTTTCCGCATGTTGGAAAACGGGTCTCAGTCTGGCATCAGACTCAGTAGGTCGCCCTTGTTTTTCTCCGTCTGGACGCATATGGCTCCAGGCATCACGTGTAGGACCAGAGTCTCGCAATGGGGCTTGCTCTCCCGCGCTACCTCGTTGATGAACTGTATTTACAGCTCGAGGAGCTTGTCGGCTGGCTGGACGTCTTCGACCGCAACATCATCTCTGGAAGAGAGGTGTTAAAGAGTCATAATGGCAAATGTGACCTCGGTGTCTCTTTCTATGGTGGACCATGACTTTCTTGCAACCCATTCATTTGTCATCTCGCAACACCTAGCTAGGCTCGGGGCCTTCATCCGCAAGAATCACGGGCTGCAACGGCTGATGTTCGCGGTGCTGGGCGACGAGGGGGGTGGACGTGAGGATGACTCGTGGTTCTGGGACCGTGATGCCGATGCCGAACCAGAAGCTGACGACCCGAAGGAAGATGCTTTCTACGGCCGTCACGCTGGGCGGGAGCGTGCCTGGGAAGCGGCAAGGCTTGGCCGGAACGGCTCGTACGGCATCTCGGATGGCGCCGACCTCGAGCCCCCTGAGGAAGTGGACGGCGTGCTGTTCGAGCCCACCTTGCTGAGGCTGTAGACAGTCCGAGAAGGAGGGGGTGGAGTAGGTCGAGAATCAGCCGAACGGGGCTGAGATGCGGAACCACATAGCGCCCTTCCAGGGTTTGCTAGTCTGAGCCCAGGTCCCGTGCCCACCGCCACTGCCAAGCATTTGCCTGATCTTACGTAACCCTTGTCGGACCTCCGTGGCTGCCACCACAGCCTTGTCTCGGGCCAGGCTGCAACTGCGCCTTGCCCGAGAATGGGCTCGCTTCAATCAAGGCCAGCTTCACTTTCTTTCACCGCCCCGTCATCGCTGAGCTGTCATTTATTGCTAGCAGCCCAACGGAGAGCGTGATTCGAGAGCACGACCGTCATCTGCCCCTCCTGGCCTGTGCGCGCGCCCCATCTACGTCACCATCGTACAGAATATGTGCACTGCCCCCCTTGGCATTCTCGGTATGCACAAAGTTCGGTCAAGAACCCCGCGTTGTTTCGGGGCGCGAGGCATAATCTGAGCCCGACCATTGCGCCTTCCATTATACGAGCCGGGCGTAATTCCTGTCGCTTCATCAGACCATCTCTACGAGCAATCTATACTTTTCCCCCAATCATTTCGAGCTGCCGAGAGGCCTTTTCCCGTCACTCAGCCTCGACCTTGGGGCGTGGTGCGCCTGGCCAACAACCCGCCGCCCGGTCGCATATCCGGCCGCCTTGTTCCCTGCGACCACGTCGCTGCTGTCCACTTTTGCGCCTTGGTCATCGTGAGTTATACGGCGTAGAGGCGTTGCACCCATTCTCTTCCCGACGCCCACGGGGAGAGGACCTTTCTATGAGGGCTGGGCTCGTGTGTGGTATAAGTAGGTAGGAGAACAACCTCGTAGCTCGCAGGAGAAATCTTTCGGCTCGCACAACCGGTTCTTTTCTCATCGGTGCAACATCAAGATCTCGTCAGCAACTCCAATGATGAATTTTGTCCCGTCCTTCATGGCAGAAAGCCAATCGAACCCAATGGCGCTACGTACATCCGCCGCCGCCTTTCCCGCCCATACAAGCTCCATGTTCGCGCACGGCCTATGCCACCCACCAGATGTGTTTGGCCAGGGGCAGACACCGGCTCGGGGCCCCTATGATCGACAGTACATGGGCAACGCGGATCTTGATGCCCGTGAAGGTGTTTACGCTATCTACAACAACATGCCGCCGGCTTTCTCTGGCACTGGAGACCATGTTCCTGCGTACCATTTCGTGCCCGACCCGGCTCTCCTAGGAGGATGCGCGTTCCAGATGGAACCGGGCACGATGCGACAAGAGCTCAGTAGCCCGGCCATCGCTCACAACGGCCAATATCTGGTGGGTTCATATCATCAGCTTTGCTGACGCCTGCGCTAACCACATGGGGACGCTCGCAGCTCGGGGTCCCGAGAGAGCCGTCCGGCCTCGCGAGGGAAGGAAACCATGTGTCTTTACTTCCCCCGGCGCTGAAAAAAACCGCACCGGTGCCGCTGGTACCTCAGGAGTGTCTACATTCCTTATCGTCGTACATCGACGGAAAATGGAGCACGATCGACTTCACCTTCACGGCGGCCATTACCCGAGACATGGAGTACGATCAAGAGGTGAACGGCTACATCATCTACCGCCGAAATTACATGGACGTCTATTGCTCGGTTGTCTTCCCGTCCTATGGAGGTGACGAATTGGTGCGCTGGAACTCCCCGGAAACAGGGGCTCAACTCAAAGTCCTCGCGTTTGGCGTAGGCGTGTCTGCTACGTCCGACAAGGACAACGGGTCGGTTGTGCTGAATGAGTTGACCCCCCAGCGAAGATTGGGTCCCATCGCCGAAGTGGAGGTCAAGCGCCTAGAATCTGACACCCAACCAGGGCCCACGAAAAAAGCGCACCATTTCCAACGCCTGCAATTCCGGCGATCTACCAAGAAGAACGGCAAGGGACCGACCGCACAGGAGAAGTTCCTGTTGCGCGCCAGCCTCTATGTCAAAATAGACCAAGGGGGCGGCCAAGAGTCAGATTGGAAGCGTATTGGCTACAATGAGTCGCCCGGTCTGATTGTGCGTGGTCGCGCTCCCTGCTGTTTTAAACCCGACGAATCCTCTTCGGATGCAGGAATGGTGCCCGTGCCCGGATCCATCGCTTCGATCCTCAGTTGAGGCCTTCTATCGCTGCCTCGCTTTCCGCTCGAGCACCTTGTCAGGGACAGAGCTGTGGATCTTGGGAGACTGCTGGTCGCGGGGGAGAGTCACTGTGCGGTCATCTATGCTATCTACCACCTTGTCAGTTCCTCAATGTATGGTCCCCACTAGTTGTCTTGGTTCAAACACAGGAAACAATTGATACTACCCCGTTATCCCTTCGAATTTGACTGAACAATGTACTTGGGCTAGGACTAGTGAGCATGGGGCCGTAGGATTCGGGCTGGGCCGATAGAGGAATCCTGCCAGTCGAGACACCGTACGTAAGGGAAAGAAATCACATCACTTATGAAGAGGAGTATGCGCAAGGAGGAGGGACAAAGTGTAAGGGGGGAGAGACGAAATGCAAGGAGAAGAGACAAAATGCAAGGAGAAGAGACAACACGCAAGGAGAAGAGACAACATGCAAGGAGAAGAGACAACACGCAAGGGGAAGAGACAACATGCAAGGAGAAGAGACAACACGCAAGGGGAAGAGACAAGTACGCTAGGCTTGGCACCCCCTTACAGTAGAGCGTACGATATAAGGAGAGGAGAGAGGGATATTCTTTCTTCTCCCTCCTCAGATTTATCCTCCTTGTTACTAGGTTGGCTAGCTAGTTGCAGAACTCTTTCCAAACCCATACCAAGACCCCACAAAATGTCGCTCATCTCTCCGCTATCACGCATCCCGGAGCCGGGCTCAGGCCTCGTCAAGGAGAAATATACCGTTACATCTGGCACGAAGGCGAATCCCGTCGAAATCGACCTCTGGCGCATCGCTACGTGCAGCGCAAAGGATAGCCTCGAGCCGCAGCCGGGGGCTGTCTGGGTGCCCGGGGGGGCGATGCTGGTGCTGGATATCGACATGGAAACGGCAGACATGGCCTCGATCAGCGACTACTTCACCGCCAAGCTGGGTACGGAGCCGCTGGACCGCGATGGGCGCGGCTACGTCCTCCTCTACGTGGCCTACCGCGCGGGCCGCCCGTTCCCCGCCCCGCCCTGCGACGTGCTCGCCGCATATCAGTACGCCTGCGCGCACGCGGAAGAGCTTGGCATCATCCCCGACTCCATTCCCATCATCGGCTGCAGCGCCGGCGCCAACCTGGCCTGGGCCGCCACCCACATGGTTCTGGATCTGGTCGCGCAGAATCCCGAGGACCGCCTGCTGCGCGCCCCGCCCGGCTTCATGTGTATCTATCCGATGCTGGATCCGTACACGGATTGGGAAGATACCGAGGGCGGCATCGAGCAGGCGACGGCGGACCGTCTGCGGCGCGGCTGGAGGTCGTACCTCAAGTTCGACAACCTCGCGGAAGAGGACCAAAAGTACCTCAAGTACGCGAAGCTCCTGGAGCTGTCGGTCGAGGACCTCGGCAAGCTCGTTATGCCCATGCACATCGACTACGGGACCCGGGACTACTTTGCGCAGGAGATACGCGGGGCTATCACCCTGTTGAACAATGCCGGGGTCGCTGTCAGGCTGGTCGTGCTGGACGACGTGGGGCACGGTTTTGAGATCTCCACGTTCAAAAATGACCCGGAACACCCGGCGTGGAGATTGGCGTGCGAGGAGAGGCGGTACTTCCTGAGGAGCCTGTTGCCTTGAAGGCTAAGGAGGGGGGCAGCGACCTAATTGGACGCAGCGAGTGACTGGTTAGAAAAAAGATCCGGCGCAATTTTGCAGGGAAAATGGCTGGTGACGCACTTGGAACATTTGCTTCCGGGTTCCAGAAATTTGGTGGTTACTCCTTTGTTACACCGAGATAGCGCAAATGCCTGCCAGCAACTCCATGTTGTGTCAATGAACGTGAGCATGCTCCCCATCATTCAATTGCGTCGCCAATGATATGTATGATCTCCCGAATCCTACCTATGCCGTAGAAATAGGGCAACATCAAGTTATCTGCGAGTCAATGTCACGGTGAAGGCTCTTCGTCAGCGCTTGGGCTTTTCATTTCCCTCAATGAGTGCCCGGAGCTCATGCTAGACTGTGTGCTGTCATGGGAGCTTTTGCATCGCACCACAATCTCCACAAAAGCCTGTCGATCTTTCTCGGCGGGGACCTAATTTCCTCTTCTAGTCGCATACTGACATGACCTCATCATCATGTGGTAGCCAATCAAAAGGCCCCGACAAAATCTGTCGGGGACTTCTGATTGGTTGTTTCGTTGCCCTGGCGGTAACCCTAATGGGGAGATTAGCCGAATAATTCCCACCGCGGTAAATAACAAATCCACAGGTACGCTAGACAAATGCCTAATCGGGTCTCGTAAATGACTAAGCAGCGGTGACTAAGCAGCGGCACTCAGGGGGACAGAATTCCGTCCCCAGTGAGGCAGGAAATCTGGGCAGAATACCCTAATGGTGGGGACAGAATTCTGTCACCCCCTGGGTGAGCGGTGACCAAGAGTCTGCCGAGCACATGTCAGACGCGCATCTCCGTCAGCCAGCTCTGGCTAGCGCTGTATTCGGTGCTGACGGCGCCTCTGACGCACTGCACCGGACACGACTCCTGCAATGTCCTTCCGTGTGTCTGAGGTGCGAAACTTCGACAGCACCCTGGTAGCTGCGAATGTGCCGCTTCCTTCTCGGCCTTGATAGCGGCTACGAGGGAACATACTGATAATCGAGTCTCGGCCGACCGGGGCTGGGAAACAACCCATGACAAAGAAAAGTCGCGGAGTGCGGGGGGCCTGTCAAGTGTCAGTCAGCCGCGCCGCTTGCCCGCTCCCAGTAGGGCCCAGCCGTGGGCGACAAGGTGCACCCGGTCCAGCCCAGACCTGCTAAAGGGTGGTGAGGCACGGTGCAGTGAATAGGCGGCACGGGCCGCAGCCCAGAGCCGTTAATCGCTGCCCCGTCTTTGGGGTTCCTCAGGAGTTCGGCAGCCCGAGCTACTGGAAGGCTTAGTAGCCGCAGCGCCGGGGCCCCGCATGTTAATTTTCCGACCAATTACATCGGTCGCTTAATAAGCCACACCGTGGTCTGGGATGGTGCGGTACTTTTCCCGCTTCGATGCCCGCAAAGTAAGTAAGAATGCAGACGTAGTAGTAAATTAGGAAGGCAGCGCATTACTTCTGAAAGTAAATGCTTCGCCGCCGTAGCCTGTATACAGCCCTCTGCAAGGTACCTATATACGGCTGCTCTTGCGGCGTGCGGCCTCAACTGACTGCCCTGTATGTGGCCTGCCTTCGTAGGGCTCTACACTACGTATGGAAGCCTACGTTATCTATACGTAATTAAATTAATAACGATCAATTAATAACGTACCTATGCATACGAAACGTAGCACCTCTTTTATCCCCGAATTCAACGTCTGGCTACTCGAGATAAAGAGCCGCGTAAGTTTATCTAGATGATAAATGAAGCCTCTCCTACTTAAAACGTGGTATTCCTCGTAGAATCCTGCTTCACGAGTAGAGGGCTTGTAAGGGTCCTCAATCCACAGTCTCTTTTCTTCTGTATTAGTCACCTCTATATGCAGCTGACGTTAAGCAAAGCCATGGTATGGATTGGGGTTAGCGGCGGGAAGAGAGACGTAGAAGTGGTATTACGGCTTAGCGAGGGCCGAAGATATTATATTATTAGGGTTCAACTACCTACACTCACAACTAAAAGCCTCTATATATTCCGGAAGCTAATGTAATCATATGTTCCTCTCCTCGGTTTCTTTATTTTTCTCTTCCCGTTGTCTCTTGTGTGCCAGTAAGACCTCCCCGGCCTTCGCCACAGGTGGAGTAAGATAAGTAGGGATGAGAGGAGTAGGACCAGGAGCAGTAAAGACATGTTCAGAATTGCGCTCTCTTCTCCGAGGAGCTAGCGTCGCGATGATGACGGTCGCGCACGGGCGGCCTTCTAAGCCCTCCCTCCTACTCTCACGTTTCACGGAGAGTAGCATCCTACGCCGCAAGCTTTTGTATTGATCCGGGCTATAATTTAGCTACTAGACCTTCTCAGGACGATCCGGCGCCGGGAGCGGCGGAGGGCCCAAGTCGGCCGCGTCCTGTGTCTCTTCCTCGTCATTGGCGTATTCTTCGTAGGGGCCGATTCGCGTACGCACGTTACGGGCGAGCCGCGCCAACATGTGGTAGGCGAGCATGTCGTTGCCCGTATGGAAGCCATGCAGACCTTCGCCAGCCGAGGGCGACAACTCGATCAAAGGGAACGAGTAATCGCCTTAACACGAATAGCCGACCGGTAAATCCATCTCGATTTCGCTCTGCGCTTTTGGAAAAGGATTTTCCAGTGCCCCATACCACGACTGTGTCGTGATGTCCAGGATGGGCAGAGGCATAGGTGTCTCGCCTATGCCGTATGAGGTCCGCCACAGGGTGTAAGTGAGGATGATGCTGTGATCTTGGGTCACCGCGTTGTGGGAGACGTCGGTCGGGTTGAGGAAGGCGACCCGTTGGATCTTGCAGAATGTGCTCTCCTCCGCCCAATCCAGCGTTGGGGTCTGGGTGTCGTCCTCGTCGTCTTGATTGAGCGCGCCCCCTTGATGCCTGTAGGGCAGCCAAACGAGAAGACGACCAAGGCTTTCTTTCGAGGGTGGCTCACGATCAGAACACAATTTATTTGCGCGATCCGAGCTGCATATCTACATCGTAAAGGCCACTGCCCTGATTAGTGAGCGCCCTCTTCTTTGTACGAACAGGTTTTAGGCTCCATCAGACGAGCTTAGCTGAGCTCTCACTTGCCAGTGCTTGACAGAGCCGTCGCCTGGGTGCGGGAGCCGTCTAACTGCATCCAAGATTCAGTTTTTCGTACGGGTTAAAATCAACGGTAACGTTGCTCATGCGGCCCTCGTGGTAATCACAAACTAATTCCGTAAAATCGGGCCCGATCCTTTCTTTGCCACTGATCATGCGATGGGGCTCAGCCAAATGATCCCACGGACGATGCACTAGCTAGTCTATTTTTAACACCCCGATGGAAGTAGAAAGGCTTTTCCGAAAGAATGGTCCATCCACTCCCTACTGTCTGTCATCACCGTATCAACGAGGCTAGTATGTCTGGGTATCGGACAGACCGACGTACCTATACTCGTACAAGGCATAAAATATTCGGGATGGAGACTTGCCAAGAAGTTTTCTGTTTTCGGTAGGTAGTTACCTAATCTGGAAATACCTAGTCATTTTTGTAACCCGACAAACAACGTTTCTGAAATTTTGCAATGGACAGTATTCTCAGCCTGCCATGTGACATGTAGCCTCGCTTAGTTATCAAGTAGGGTGGACCGTTAAGTGCTGTTTTTACGGCGGAACATGTAAGCTAGTCTCGCTAAGAAGTTTTCTATTTTGATAGGAGGGTTGCCTGATTAGGAAATAGCTAGAGGTTTTTGTGCCCCGATAAATAACGCTTCTGCAATATTCGGGATGGACTCATCTGGCACAAAATCAACGCAGACCTGGCATTCCACACTCGACACCCTACAGCGAGCAGCATACAATCAACGCACAGCAGCCTAGATCCGACATCCTTCTACGAGAGTCCGGCATTGTCCCACAAAAAGCATCGGACAACTGAACCCTATATAGCCCACCCAGCATTATGTGCGTGTAACGTCCGCAGAAACGGCATTCCCGATAATTTTAGCTATTTTCCTCCACACCTCTCGTCTTCTTTTTCCTAATGCGGAAGACTGCAGCCCGAGGCAGCCGCGGACGGCAGGCTTCCTCGGTTTCCTCGGTCTCTTTAAGCAACCCAGGATTCTGCCGCTTTAAAACCAGACGCTCCGTTTTTGACGCCGTTTCTGCTGCCTGCTCTGTCCGCATCGTTGACTCGTTGCTCGGCCTCATGTTCTTTTTGCCAACCTCTTCCACCCGCTTGGTTCGGTTTCGTTGCGGTCTCTGCTATTCTGGGCCACGTACGGATCAGGGGCGGGCTCGCGGTATGTCACGATGGCTGAACCATGAAGAAAGCGTGAGATGACGCAGATGGTAGGCCGACAAAAGATCATGGCGTTTCAGTATGTATGCTATCAATACTCTTTCACTCATCTCCCACTTGGCGTGGGGAAAGATGCGAGCGAGCTCGAAGCGCTTCTCGAACCAGCTGACTCGTATTCAGGCTGATGCGTGCCGGTACTCGAAGCGACCGCCGAGTCTCCTGAATAGGTATGTCGTGCCTATGCCGCCGACCAGGCCCGTGGTGTGGTTGCCCACCGCATGCGCGCGTCCAAAGTCGTGCCACGCCCGCGGCCACCCCAGGATGGCCTCGTCGATGCGCCGGCCCAGCGTGTAATCTCTATTGACAACACGTCATGTCTGCCGGACACCGCATTCTCTGACAACGCGACAGCCTCTTCAGACGACCTTTCCCTTAACTACCCCCTCCACTGCCTCTCGGTCCTGTCAATACCCCCTCGTCCAAAGTCTCAATCGATACGACGAGTCACCCACATAATGTGCTGGAACTCTCAGACGAAACCGCCAGCTGCCGTTGCCGGATGTCCTGTCGATGTCCTCCGTCTGGAGATGAGACGGCCGGCGACGGACCTGCGGGCAGAGTAAAAAACTCCCCGTTCATACTATAAGCGGAGCGTAGGGATGACGGCGGAATATTAGGGTCAGCCCTACCCTGGTGGAAAGGGGTTTCCAGTCCTTCGGACGACGTGGGATCCTCATACTTCATGTAGACTGCGCGGCCCGGTCACGAGAGAGAAAAATAAACACAGAGCGGACGCGCGACCAAGACGGAGAGAGAACGTATTCCTGAGAGCCCACGTCCGGTAAAGGGAAGGAGGGAGGGTCCACGGAAAATTATGAATGGAGCGCCTCCAAAAACAGCAGGGAGAAAGAGATTCCGCCACCCTGCGACCGCGATAGAGCCGGGCGCCGTTCGTGGTCGTGGCCAGCCGAGGAAGCCCAGGGACAAGGGCGCCGTCGCTCCGGCGGACTAAGCTTCCTTCTAAGCACGCACCCCAGGCCACCTACCATGCCTCTGATGCCGCCGTTACGGGCTGGACCACCCCACCCATTGGCGGTGCTCAGCCGTCGGCAGGGGAAGGTTTTTCGCAGACAGATCTTGATCTGGGTGTGGTGATGATACTGCCTTGTTCCATAGGAGCAAACACCGAACAACGCTCTTTTTACGCCATCAAGAACACGCCCTATTGTGCCTGCGTCTTTTATGCTAGTGCCATTGGCGTGGCCGATAGACTCGTCGGCCTTGGTAGTCGCGGCAAGTGCTACAGAAAGGCGGAAATGGAGGCCGCCTCTGTGGCTGGTGAATGCGACGTGGGCCTGCCAAAGACTGCTATCCGGCACTCTCTTTGCTACTCTAGACGATTCCGTCTCTGGCACCCCTTGGCTGGCCGTTCCTCGCCGCTGAGAGGAGCAGGCGCGAGGCAGCCCCGCTCGTCGCCGCATCAGACACCGGACCAGTCGGCCACATTCACCACCGCCACCTATGAACCCGAAGCCATGCGTCCTCTCCCGGCCAATCGGCAACACCTGCGACGACAAGTCGTGGAGACGATGCCCCGATTCGCCCTCTATAGCACGCGCCACGGACCCGTTCTTAAGCCAACGTCCAGGTACGCCCTCCGCGCCCGGATCGGTGCTCGTCAGGCTCAGCCCTACCCGCAGGCCGACAGCGCCAGCATGCGTCCCGTGGCGGGTGTTGCCGAGACTGGGGGCTGTTTGGCTCCTGGCCGCATGTTAGTTTCGAGTCGTAGCTCACGTGTGGTGCCCCCGTATCAGGACCTACGCCACACAGCGGGTACTGATCGATTGGTTAACTGCATGCAATTGCCTATCTGTAGTGCCTATAGATAACGACTCAACGCTTAGGAAACGAGAAGAACATGTCCCCTACCGAATTGTGTGGGTTGAGGTTCTTATAGCTTCCCCGCGTCTACTATGACGTAGGGTGAGCACTAGGCTAAGTCTATCGAGAGCCTTATGCTCTAACCCGATAGCCTTATGCCGTAGCCTTACCTCCTGATAGTCTTGTGTACCGCGCCTGGTTCACCTACCCTACGTTACCCTCATGTATTGTAAGTGTAGAGTAGGGTGCCTGAGCGAGGCTGTTCGTGACACCCCGTCACTCACATCTAGTCGAACGGCGTGCCCTTGCGAGGGGAGATGTCTGCTTTCTTTCCGGGTCCGGCGTTGTCGCTACGTCTACGCCAAGCTGGCCGTCAGTGGGCACGGTAAAGGGGGAGGTTCGTAGGCGTGCCGGCAGAGGAAATCATCGACGGATCCCTCAAAGCTACGTCCAGTGTCAGCAGGACAGGAAAGAATCGATGGGATGGCAACGGGCCGTACTACCCTGCCGCACCGGCTGGAGCCGGCTTTGATCGGGCAGGATGTAGTCTATGTAGACTCTCCTTCTTACCACTCATCACTATCACGAACCGTTCGCTCGATGCCGTCACGCACGGCGTCTCCGGTCGTTCATATCGCCAATTCTGCCGATCTATGTTTCCGTTCTCTACTGGTGATGGCCGGGGTTCCGACCGAACGATCAGTGATAGAGGCGCAGGTATCGGTGTAGTCCCTGTCACTGTCGGTCGGATACCATTTCAATAACGGGCGAAGAGGCGGCATGGCATGTCGAGATTGGGTGCGCTGGAAGCTGACTGATTCGAGAGTCTTGTAGGTATGTCGGCACGCCCAGCGCTATGCTGCTGCCAACTGAACCGATCGAGGTCATTCGGTTGTGGCAGGTCGCATGTTCAACACTGGGAGGCCGACACTGGGGTTTTTGGCATTGTCAGGCATCTCGAATCTTGAGCGCTTTTATTTTCGTTTTATTTGGGTGGTATCCTCGATGTGGTTCTGTCTTGTTTCCATCGTAATGTGTTGTTTTATAGAATCCTACTCCTTTTTTTTTTGGCGTGCTAAACGCCTTCTGCTGCTGCTGCGACTCTTCCTCTACAAGGCCCTCTACCCTGAAAGTAAATCGTCCTACTGTTCCCCGGTACTAATAGTTCACATTGTTCACTGCGGTCTATAACAGTCCCCTACCACCTACTATATCTAGTGACATCCACGCTCTCTGATTGGAAAACTAGTCTACCAGCCGGGCCTGCCGGTCCGTGGAGGATATATACAAGACGGCGTGGCGTACCAGGACAATCCTATTCGATCGATCGGTGCCTATTCAGGGGAACGGGTAACACGTCCTAGCTGTGGGACTGATGATAGGAATCCCTCAACAGTACGTACTATCTAGCGGTAACATATTTGTCCTCGGAGACTTACACCTATGTTCCGTTCGTAAAGCTTGAGCGCGACGGACGGCCGCTATAAATACAAATGGGTCGTAGTAGTTTAGTATCACCGGACTAGTATGGCTTGATCCTGACTATGGCTAGTACGATGTGGGCTAGTACGAAGTTGAAGTAGGGAGTGAAATACTCGATAGCCATCGACGGCATCAGCTGCTCGTCACTTGTAAATAGAATGTGGAAACAGGGCTGTTTTTGTTTTCATCATGCAGTGCCGGGGCGGTGGTCGGGTGCCTCTCCCAACCTGCCCCTGCCTACCACAACATGTTTTCATGTCCTCTTTCTCAGCATGTCCCTTACAACTCGCCCATGATCGCCCAAAGCAGGTGAATGTATCTCACCGACGCTCTACCTGTTCCGACGCAGGGAAACCCACCCTGACGACATCTTCATTCCAGGCCCAGGTCCATTTTTTACACCCAACCTTGGCGTCTGTTGCCCTAACCTGATACGGAAGGTTAGCCGAATAATTTACCCTGCGGCACACAATAAAGTTTCAGGCGCCCTAGATAGAGTTCTCAAGTAAGTTATGCTACTCACAGTAGCACATCAAGACTACAATGGAGGAAACACAACGGAGTGGACACAACATGTCCGCTTCACGGCTGTATGGAGTCAAGGCCGGTTCGGCTTCGCAGTTGATGGCCGAGTCGCAACCGTTATCATTCGACAGTTCTCGTCTAGCGTGGTGCCGTGCCGGCGGAAGTAGAGCGAACCGGCTCGACAAGCGTGGTGCGCAGTGGTGTAGGGTCACTAGTTTGATTACATAAGCCAAAGGGTTTACGGAGAGCGCACGACGCCGGTAGTGGGAGCTCCTGCGATGATGCGACCTGAGAAATAAAGAGGCCACAAACCGTGATATGAGGGCTGCGTATTTGGGCGGAGACATCTGGCTGAATAGATAGCCTGTCGCACGTATAGTGCACAAGTGCATGCGCAACTTGACGTTTCACTCGCCCGCCTCCAATCAGTATTAGTAAGTAAGAATGCCACTTACGTCACCGCTTTAGTAAGGTGATACAATGCTAGGCCTTATTAAGTTAGTATACCACGTGACCTAAGGCGCTATACCTAATAAGGTAATGAGCCTTTGGTGGTAATATTCCACAGTTAGTCATCTAAGGTGACTATCCTACTAGAGAAGAAGGACTCTAGCCGTGCGTGAACGCACTAGCTAATTACAACGCGGCGTTGTTTGTCTGTAAAATGTCTAGCCTAAGGCATAACCTTGACGAGGCCCTAGCCCTCAGTATAACTCTCCCCATTACATCCCTCCCATTGTCGCTCGCTTTCTTAACGTCCTCGCTTGACACCTCTGCCTTGTAGACATCCCCCACGCAGCCCAGCCGCCTCCCACTTCTTGATGTTCTTCAAGGTCAGGGTCAGATTGGCTGTCTGTCGTTCTTCAAGCCCCTTCCTGAGCTCTTGCGTGTGCCTGCCGGATGGTGCTCGGCCTCGCTTCCCGCCTGACTATATTGTGTATCTGCTTTGCAATGGTCAAGCGATGCCCGACATCAACCATAACGTCGTACAGCGCATCATGTAGCACCTCGGTGTAGGGGTTGTTCTTGCGGAGAATTGTCAAGACGTTCATGATCGCCCCAGATCCCGCAGCTGCAGTTATCCTGATGGAAATTGGAGGTCAACACGATATCACGCGGTCTTGGATTGTTGTAGACCTAGCTGAGCTATTCGCGGGGGCGATAGGTAGCCTCATTGACTCCTCCCGAGGGGCTGGCCTTTGAATTGACGACTGAGAGCGACTGAGATAGGGAATCCGACGTGAAAAAAAGCCAATTAGTCCCGTAGCCGTCCAAGCCTTCGTTGAAAACAATGATGCGCCGAAGAGGGTCTTTCACGTTACCCCAAGCTTGGAAGGGTAATGTCTGCTGTGCCTGTCTGCATTCTCTAGTCTAGAAATGAAAGACTGCGCTGGAGATAATCGTACATTTCTCGTCCGTGTCTCGTGGTCCAGCCTCGATTCCCGCGTTGATGAAGCTCTCAGAGACCCACCCGTCATGAGCGTTATCCAAAATAGCCGTCCGGATTGAATTGACGGATACCTCTGCAAATTTACAATCAGGGTGACCAGGAAGGATCCGATAGGACTGATCCCCGAGTTGCGCTTCCCATTCTGTTATTAATTGATGAAGGCCTTTTATCGGATCCTTATTCTGGGCGGCGATTCTTTCCAGGCCCTCAAGGTACAAGGAGATCCCTTTCTCGGCCATGTATAAGAAGGCCGTAGGGTATTTTCCTGGCATATGTCTAGCCAGCAGGCTCAATGCGTCGATCATCTTTTCCGCGCCGTACTCGTGGTATTACTGAATGTCTGAGACCGTAACGAGAGGAACGTCCATCCGATAATCTATTTGTCGCACATACTTGTGTATCATTGACCAGGTAAACCGAACAGGGCTTCTAGGGTTGCGAATGGGATTCGGTAAGTTCTTAGGCGTATCCTTTCTGAGAGAGCGAGGTTGGGGGGTGGGGCGATTCCAGAAGGGCTCGCAACACGCATTCCGCAAGTCGCGAGCTGCTGTCCAATCTCGATGCCATAGAAAAGGTTGGAAGTCCTTAGCTTCTTCGTGCTCAAGACTAGAGTGGCACTAGGTCCAGGTGTCACTGTTTGTGGTCGCGCACGTTTCTCAAGGCCGGACATGTCAGCAGGGTTGCTTTTCATCTGCTCCGTCCACTCTTTACTTCCAAGAGCCGGACGGTCTTCGCCCTGCTTTGCGAGTTGGACCGAAGTCCCTCGACTGTGGCCTTTCGATCTCGAGTGTACCTGAACGGTGCCCTGCCACTGCCCCTGCCACGGCTGTAGCGGAACCGGTGCGAGTACTGGCCCTTGAGGGAGGAGGAGTTCTGGGCCTCGGACCACTTCTGTTAGTGTTTCTCGTACTTCGACGCTTGGTAGACTGAACGGGTGAACCAGCCAAGCCCGCGAGACTCTGCTGAGGTGGAGGAAGGTGGCCAATCTGTGAGCGTGTTTGACAGGGGGTGTCTGGTATCTGCGGAGGAGGAGGTCCAGCGATTCTTTGCTGGACAACGAGTGGTGCAACTGTCCCAGGCCTGCCCTCGGACGCGATCAAGTTCTTGTAGTTCGCAGGTAGCGGTCCTGTCCAATAGAGCCCATGAGCTTCTTTGAAGGGATATCTCTCTATCGCCTCTTCCCAAGCGTCAAGTTCCCGTTCTTTGGCTCGAGTGGCCGAATCCATAGCTCCCGTGCCATCTATGAGGTGTCTGAGATGGCCTTCAATGAGATGAGGATCTATACGACAGCGTTGAGCTTTGCGAATTCTTCCAAGGCGGCATATCATCTCATGCGAGGCAAGTTGCAGTCTTGTGAGAGGCGTGACATTGAACTAATGCGGGTGAATTCTCAATGCCTGATACCCATCCATGAGACTTGTGGCATCTCCTCCATATGGAATAATCAACTGGTCGAAGAATTCCACGGACGTCCATTCTGAGAGTTTTGAGAAGCCTCCTTGAGGCGTCGAGACACCCTCTCTTTGGCATTTCTGATCGAACTTCTCCACTTCTCTCGACCTTGCATATTCGGATAATAGCCTCCTGTGTGCCTTATCTCTGCGGTTGCGGCTATCGTCGAATTTCTTCTTTTCTTTTCTCAAGTCTTTGAAATTGTTGAATTCCACTCGCGCGTTCGGAAAGTCTTTTGTCTGCTCGTAGGCTTGCTGAGCCAAAAAGTCGCGCTATTCGCCCACCTGACCGTATTTGAGATTGAGATTGGCAAAGAACTCTTGGATGCGAACTAAGTCAGTCCAGTCGATGGCTTCGACCGCGGTGGCGAGAGGGACTACGTAGACGCCCGACGGATTTTTGGCGGACAGCGCCGGCTGGTTTTCAACGGTACCGGCGTTGGGGTGTTGGTATTGAGTCGTTCGTCCCGTGGGGATCAAGGCAGAAGGGTTTGGATGAAGAGCAGGGAGTTTCGGTGCGAGGGATCTTTGCTTGTTGGACCATCTTGACCAAAGAGCGTCGATGCCCTCTGAAAGACTGACCGTGATTGTGACCTTGAGAACAGTAGAAGATTGCTGAAAGAAACCAAGAAACGAGAAGATGGTCGACCTTGTAAGATTTTGAGATTGTCGAAGTGAGAAAGACCGAGAAGAAGCAGTTGAGCTTTGCCGTGCCGGAACAGATAGAATATCGTTCGACGAAGATGAAAGAAGTCCAGAATGCTTCGTACGAACGTAGAAAGAGAAGAATGAGTTGTTGAGTTGTGAGAAAGAGGAAGGGTTAGTCGAGGAGAACGAGAGAGATACTTATACCCAGCCTATTGAGCGTATATGCGTGCCGGGGCCTCTCCGGCAGAACCTCCTCTGACTGTTGTCTCAGTTCTTCACTTTCATGCTCTGACTTGACGTTGGAATTGTCATCTTTTACTCAGCCAGAAGGCTAGCTTTGGTCAAATGACTTTCCTTCCTGCTCCGCGTCACTGATATAGTTAATAATCACGCCCCGTGGCACGTGCTCATGCTTCTGCAGTTTCTTGGCTTGATCCTGATAGAGCTGTCACTCGCAATGTGAACTTCCCGCTTTCTAGGCCATGCCACTTCTCCTTGAGCCTTTCATGTCCCGGCCGTGTCGTCGGTCTCAAGCATACGCAATGCGGGCAGTCTTTGCGCCCGCGGAGAACTTTGACTAATCAGCGTGCTCGACGTCATTCTGTAGATTGTACAGGATAGGCCTGACCAATCGGAGGTCGCGCTAGTCATACTGGTGCAAACCTTAAAATAGTCCCTAGCTTTCATCTCCAGCTCTTTTCCAATCTCTTCTTTACTAACACCTCGATGTTTCCGCCTCACATTTCAGCATCTGCCCAATAGGCGGCGATGCTTCTTTCCCTCCCTCCTTCTCTTTGTTAGCTGAGCTCTGAAGCTAACACTTCAGCGGTTCCTGAAGCATCGCCAACTACGCCACTGCGACAATCACCCTCAGTCTTTGCAATACTAGTAAGAAGAGGAGAAGAGAAATGACTACAAGAAAACACGAAAAGGAAAAACAGAGGAAAAGCACCTCATCTCTTGCCTCACTTGCCGCTTCGCACTAGCCGAGCACAGGGGCTGGCAACGATCATCTTGCGGTATCAATCTTCAAAAGATTCCCCCATCACTCTTAAGCCCGCGTATCGTCATCGGATTTCATCACTCATTGCCAGAATCTCGACCACTATGGTTGGCCTCATATTAGGCGGCTGTAGGGATGGCACAATAGTTCCTTCCCGCAGCCGATCGCTACGGCGTAGACGAGACCGCTCTCTTTCAGGCGGGAAGCTCGACTTGTTTTATGAGGATCCTGACTCGTCTTCCTGTAGAAGGTCCGCCGGAGGGGAGCCAGGCGAACCGTGCCTTTAGATTTTTTCTGGTGACGCCGTTTCTCCCAGAAAGTCCGTTGGCCTGGAATAAAATCTTTTCAGTCTGTTAGCAATGTAGGTGCCCTGGAGTCGCGGCCCATCGAGCTCCACCAAGTGTATGTCCCTTTTTCCTTATCGGCCCCATTGATTGTGAACGGTCCAAACCAACGAAATCCTAACTTCTTCTCGGCTGACATGTTCATGGAGCCTACGGTATCGTGGCTAAGTTCTAACATTCCTTCTTCGAATGGTTTCGGCTGTACACTATATCTCTTGTCAAACTGGTCCTTTTCAAGCCGCCGCAGACAATTCAAATGTGCTGCCGCTTCGTCGAGGTCTTCACTACGCCTCTCGAGCGCTCTTACCCTCGTTGCTATCAGGTCGGCGGTATCAACGACTTTATCCTAGTTCATGACATCCTAGGTTGTGATTTCAAGGTCGATTAGCAATATCGGTTCGATCCAGGAATTCGATCTCGTACGGTGTCATTCCAGTACCGGCCTTGATAGTTATCCTATCGGCCTAAAGAACAGCGTGTAAGTAATTCATCTAGGTGCCTTCGCCATCGATCTTGTACATTTTTAAGAGCGCATTTGTGACTCCTTATACCCGACCTCGACCTAGTGAACTAGGGCGAGGCTCTTAGCTAGAGGTATTAACTCATATAGCGGTAGGTATAGTATAGGGGTAACGGCTATCGTATAGCGATGATAAAATAGTATAGAGGGTTCCGATTAGATAGGTTTTATAACTTAATAGATAACTGTTATTAACTCCTTAATTAAGTTATTCGTTATATAGACTGATTGATCCTCTTGAAGGATCTTCGAAGAAACTAATCTCCGACCTAGCGTTAGAGATCTAACTAATTCGTAACTAGGAGTGCCTACCTATGTAGTGTACAGGTAAATTCCACTAATTACGTTTCAGCCTGGAGATCTCCCTATTACACTACGCGTTTAATCTTATCAGCCTTTCTTTTATAGAGTGTATTGTCCCGGGCCTCCAAAGGTCGCTCAGATCGGAGACGTTCGTAACGTTGCTCATTCTCCAAATCTTGTCTTAGAGCTTCCTCGTCCACTAACTTTGATGATCTCATCCTTTACTCGTCGTCCTCCACGTCAAAAGGTCTAGTCTAGCCAAAAATTATATTTCTTCGAGGTCGCCGTCGCTCATTTCGAAAGGGACCGTCGCCGAAATCAAATTATTGCCCGAATTAACCACGAAGTTAAGTACTAGCGCTCTTTATCTTTTCCGAGCCCTTATAGATATAAGTACGGGAATCTTTATTATTTTATACTCACCTAACCTTTTAAAGATACTATATTCGTATATTCCAATATTGTAGATACATTCCGATCTTCCTCGAGGTTCGAAGTAGTACGAGCGAGTACCTCCATTCGTCGATTATTATAGGTGTCCGTAAGCTCCACGATGTAGGTATCATTGTCTTTCTCCCAGACGGATCCTTTAGCTACTTTCTAGAATGGTCTTATCAGGAATGCCTTATTAGAGATAGGCAGTACTCAGCGATAGATAGATTCCGTGGTAATAAGTATCCCTTTACGTAGAGTAGTGATAAGACTCGAAGCATGAGAAAAGGATACTTCTTGGGTGCGAGAAGTATACTTTTCTCTTCCGGTGAGTATACGGCCTAAAGTGGTTTAGACCTATCCGGCTTAGGTTAGCTCCGAGCTATTTAACCCCTTTTCCTAAAGGCCGCGTAGGAGGGTGCTTCCCCCCTCTAAGTAGCGTGCTCCTCGCTCTATTTGTGATAGGTCTCCCTAAGATAAAGCGGTATAAAAGATCCAACACGTTAATTATAATGACGTTTATTAGGATATAAATACTAGTAACGCTAAATACGAAGTCTTCGATCATTCCTACGAACTTCTCTCGATCGCCATTGAAATCTACTGCATCCTGAATGAATCGGGCCTTACGTATATCCTTCGACAGACCCTTCTCTTCGACCAAATCCAGAGACATCAAAATGATCTCAGCCCCCGTAGCTAGAAGACCATCTTCATGTCGTCCCCTCATTTCCATAGGGAGGAAAGATAGCTACTCTAAAACAGTCTCGGGCGAACCGGATTATCCTCATTCGAGTTTGCTTGCACTGCTCCGACCCCGATCCTAGCATCGTCCTCGGCCTGGGTTACTCGGATCCCACCGTTTCGCGGAGCATGAGCTTGATGGCTTGGCTCTTGCCTATTCTCGTCATAATTCCAGTGCTTACGCGAGAACCATTCGTCGCGGTTCTCTTTTGTCGCCAGTAGGTCACCCATCCGCACCGATATTTCCTGGTTCAATAAGTGATCTATAATCTTTCCGGCACTATTTAGGTCTTTCGATAAAGCTTTCCGTAGTTTTCTAGGCCCTAGAGGTCCATACTAAGGTTCCTTCACGGGTCTAGCGCGCGAAAGTACCTTACGTGGTCAAACGGGGTCGCCGGAGTCAGCCATTACCGTATCCTACGACATAGGGTCACGTGACCTAATATTGTATAGACTTATTAGCGGCCTCTGATTAGTTAGATTTTCAACTACCGGCGAATCGTCTATGATACCGTCGTATACAATCTCAACGCCCGGTCTTACCCTCCGCGTTACATACCTTCGTTATTCAACTGTAATTAGCTCGTACGCGCCTACTCGAGGGTGTTTAGCCTATACGTGGCCTCATTACTAAGGAGCTAGCCGCTTTCCTAGGGTATCGATATAGGCATCATCCTAGGGTTAGTCAATACATAACCCTTTCATTTCGGCTATACTCCGAATATAAGTATCACGAATAGAGAGATAACTAAGGTAAACCATAAGGGAGTTTACTACTTATAAAGAAGAAGTACCTACTACGCAGCCTTAAGCCAACGGAGAGGGTATAGTAGGAAGGCCACTCTAGATAGCCCTAAGTCGGGCGGCCCTAAATTACTTTAGGCCGTCCGTATATCGAGAGAGAAAGGTATACTTCTCGTAGCTAAGAAGTATCCTTTCTCTATATTTTCAGTTTTATCACTACTATACGTAAAGGGATACTTTTTACTACGGAATCTACCTATCGATAAGTACTGTATATCTTTAATAAGGCATCCTTAATAGATCTTGTCCGCGTAGGCGCGTAGTAAGCTAGTTATAAAACAGCTAGTACACGAATGATTAGTCTTAGCTCCGATCTTTATTAGATATATAGCCGCCCTACGAAACTAACGGAGGTATAGCTCTAAGTTTTAAGACTTCTGACGTCTACGCTTCGCGAGAGTATAAAGGTAATTAATACTTAGTATCTATTATATTTAAGCTCTAATATGGGTCGGGTTTTGGGTCGGATTTTTAAAAAGTCTGACCCGCTAAGACTTTTTATATATTATATAAAGTATATAAAAAGTCAATTTCTATATAAATAGTACATTAAAAGTCTTAGTGGGTCGGACTTTTTAAAAATCCGACCCGAAACCAGACCTATTGTAATGGGGAGAGCGAGAGAGACTAGCTGGAACGTGATTAGTGGAATTTGCCTGTATAAGTGTACAGGATGGCACTCTCGGCCATTAGTTAGTGGGATCTTAGGCATTAGGTCTGAGGTCCTCTTTTTCTTTTCTCGGAAAGAAGACAGATAGATATACAACGGTAATAGAACAGTTATCTATTAAGTTATTGAATCCATTTGATCAGGACCTTTAATGCTATCTTATTGCTACTGTGCGATAGTCGTTACCCCCAAACTCAATGCCCACCGCCGTACGAGTTGATACCTCTGGCTAAGAGCCTCTCCCTAGTTCACTATATTAGAGCCTAGAGATGCATTTGATCTCGGTCCTTATATTTATCTAAGATCTTTTCCTTAAACTTATCCTAAACTATCTCATCGAATTCCGTAAGCTCCTTAAAGCGCTCTTTCTCCATTTTTAATATGAAACGTATAGACCTACGAACTCGCTCTTCTCTAGAGATCACCTTATTATATTTACGTAGCTCTTCGAAATCCTCGAAGAAGGACGCGATATTCTTTCCATTAAAGAACAGGCGATTATCGCTTCCGTCCGAACTCAACGGCGTCTCCGCTGCTCGATATAGCGGACGTTCCCTGCTTTATTTTATTAGTTGAATTTCCTACGGATGACATCATCATAGGCTTTAGCGTCTTAGTTTTGGAAATGTTGTTTTCTTTAATAGTTTATAAGTTATATTAAAAGGGGTTTTCGTTTCTTCTTGTCTCCGCGAGCCCTCCTCACGTTCTCCCCCTCTCTTATCCTATTCCCCCGTAGGAGAACGACCAAGGAGAGGTCTCCCCTTTTTGTATATCTCCACTAGTAATTCCAGCTAGTCTCCTAGGTCTACTTCCCGAACGGTAGCGTTATAGCTTTAACCTATTCTAGTAAACCTAGCCACGTTTGTAATGCGGCTATACCTTAATCAAGCCGCCGTCTTCAAGCTCTATCCTAAGCCTACCTTAGCTAGGGGATGACAGGGTCAAACGCGTTCCCTCCCACTGAGAGGTTTTCCTTCTCGTCTTCGTCTTTTCTGCAGTCGTCCGTTGTTAGTATCCACCCCACACAGAGGCAGCTAAATTGCGCAACCAGCAGCTCAGAAGGACATGCTCGAGGAGAGGTCTTCGTATATAGCCAGCGTAACCCACCCTGTACAGAGGGACTGACTTGCTCTGCTAGTATTCAAAATGGCGTACTCTGTGCAGCGGTCCTGCATGTATGGCCTATTTCTCCGCGTTCTCGTCAAGTCGGCTTCGGTCGTTATCCGTCAATTCGTAGTAGTCGTTACAGTAATTTCGTTCTTCTTAGACTCACCCCTACTACTTCGCCGTGAGACGCTCCGTGCTCAAGTAGTCTCCCATTAAACATCTTATTAGAGGCACTAATGAATTAGGGTCAGGCTTCGAGCTATGGGTAGCCAACTCGTACGAGGGTAGGGGGAGCTTTCCATGTATCATACAACCACTAATAGTAACACAAGTAGATATACGTATAATTAAATAAATAGTTAGTTATCTAAGTTAACTATCATACTAGTACTACTAAAAAAGAAGAAGGACCCTAATCGTGTCTAAACACACTGGTTAATTAAAGCGTGGTGTTATTTATCTATATAATGTCTAGCCTAAGGCCTAACCTCGACGAAGCCCTAGCCCTCAGCACAGCTCTCCTAATTACACTAGAAGGGCTGGCTACTAGTAGGGTTAGGTTATCAGGAGGGCGACTGCCGGCTACCGTCGATACGGATTAAGTTTAGACGACAAGACCCTAGCGTATCCCAAGCGCCGACTCGCTCGAGAGGTCATTTTACAGGAACACCTAGCGAAAATCCCGTGGAGAGGATCACGGTGACAACGAGTAGGATCTCAGACCCCGGGACTTGTTTACCTAGTACCAGCCGCCTCTCGCGACTTTGGGGTTGCTGGCACGTATAAGAGCGGCCGTGGGGTCGCCCATGCCGCCCATGCCGGCCTAGATGCATGGTGTTGTCCAGACAAGAACGCCAAGATCGGTATACAGTCTCACTTGTCCAGATCCGGGCTCGGGTCGCAAGCATGTCTATCTATGATGACGAGTTTAACGAGATAGTGGAGATGTTCAAGGCCTCAAGCCTCGATGACAGGCCGCGGAACAGTCTTCGTACTCGGGCGGAAGCACCCGCACTAGTAGACGCTAATGGGCGCGCTAGAGCGGAGAGGTCGTAAGGTATTTTATCCTCGGCACCGCGGGTTCAGAAGCGGGTAGTGGTCCTACGAGTAAACCGATGGGACCCCACTAAGGTATCATCCATTACCGTAGTTATGGTGTGAAAACCGGCCCGGGATGTAATGACGATGGGATGGGACACTGGCGGAGGTGAGAACGCTACACGGGGCCAACCGGGAAGCCCATCCTAGGCCCGAGTCGCCTTGCTGTAGAGAGTCACCAACTCTCTCTCTCTCTCTCTCTCTCTCTCTTGGCGGTTGGACCAGGACTAAGTATACAATATACCACCCAACTTGAAAAAGAAATTGGGGGCTGGGGGATGAGACGGTGACCGAGGATGTCGGCGGATGAGCTGACGCAATCCACTTCAGATGGACTTAGTGTCAGGCCGCTCATGGTCAGGGACGACCGTTGAGACAAATGCCGAGCCAGGGACCAGGTAAGACTTGTCCATCTGAATTCAACTAGAAGGTGATTTGCTGGCCATCAACGTCGAATGTGAGCCTGTAATAATTGACTGAGCCCATGGACAAACTCGCAATTGCTATCCTGACGATGGCTTTCCTCGTTACGTCTTCCCAGGAAAATCCTTGGCTGCAATCAAATTCCATCATCTCGCCGACGGAAGACTCCTGTTCCGTGTTTGTATCCGGCGTCACTTCATTCTCGTCCCCTGCGGTGCTGATGTCGGAAGTCCATGGGCCCGAGCTATCGGTACTACCAATGCCCGCAAGGCTGCTGTACTGTTGGCAATCCCAGTTGCCCTCGCAAGCGCCATAGCCATCGCAGTTCAAACAACCATTGCCGTCGCCCTGTGACTTTGCCGTGGGCCGTTGGGGCGCAACTGACCCCGCGTCACATTCTCCGAACAGCCGGTCGTATAAATTTTGCTACAAGACGTCTAAGCTTACCACCCTGCCTCCTGCTGCCTTCAGGGCCACGTCCGTTGTCTCCCGAGGTGAGAACCCCGCTGCCTCCAAAACGCGGCTCCATGCATCCATGTAGTGGAATGTCATACGCCCGCTGTTCGTTGTCGGGGGTAGACCAGCGGCTCGAGTAGTGGGATCTAGCTCGTTCCTGTCTGTTGCGGTCTTTGAACGGTCCTAGCCGTCTGTTTTGCACTCCGTGTTTTCTTTCTTTTTTTTTTTTGGTGCAGCTTCTGGACTTTTAATCTCCGGAATCAGCGAATTCGCACCTAGTCCGTCTCCTGGGGCATTCATCGCACACCGGGAGTTTACGGCGCTGGGTCCTATTCGCTTGGACGACTGAAAGAAAAAGTGGTTAGTGAGATGCGCACTGGCTGTGGTGTGGTGGGGTCCGAATATTACCTAGCCCCAGCTCTCCTTGGGGATTTTGAAGACAGTCTTGCCAAGAATTCTTCTGTTTTCGGTAGGACGGTTACCCGATCGGGAAATCTGAAGGTTTTTGTGACCCAACAAACAACGTTTCTGAAATTTTGAAATGGAGAGAAAATCCAGCCTGCCATGTGACATACAGCCTCGCTTAGTTATCAAGTAGGGTGGACCGTTAAGTGCAGGTTTTACGGCGGAACATGTAAGCCAGCCTTACCAAGAACCTTTCTATTTTCGGTAG